GTTTGTCTTTCATTCCGTGAATGGAATAGATAAATTACAGTCAGCTTAATTTATTAAATGAAAAAATCAATGCGTTATTATCAACGTATATTTTGTATAGAATGATTATTTGAGTTATTGATAGAATTAATGATAAAGGATAACTCTTAATATTCAATGTATGAATTACTTTTTATTTTGAAGAGTTTAGAATATTTTAAGAAAAAAAAAGAAGATAGACTCTCGTGGTCTACATACATTTCTACGACTTAATTGATCAACATTTTATCTAATAAAATTGCTATCGAATAGTTTATTAATAATTCATAGAAAGATTTCTCGTTCAACAATCATCATTTAATGCTAATATTCTTTATATCTTTTTAGGTTTTTCTTTAAATGTGCGTGTTTTTAGGGTTGTGATTGATCACATGGTCTTCATCTTTTTATTTATTCCTTGTACCGTTAGGATGTCAGGATCACAGTTTATGAAAAATAAAATGTATATATTATGATCGAATTATATTGAATTCATGCAAAATTTGCAATTGAAAAGGCCACAAATAATATATCTGATTAGACAAAAAACATATGAAATGTCTTAACAAATTTTAAACTCAAGAGGAAATCTCATAGCGTGTGTACTGAAAAACTTTATTAGACGGGAAATATATGTCAAAAATAATACATCGAAATTTTACAATCGAGACACAAAATCATAAAAATGTCTTAGTATTTTTCTAGATCTAATAAAATATTTTATTTTTTATTAATATCTCTTTTAAATAGAGATTGATTGATTGTTTGCAGATGTAATTTCAATATTCATGTTATAATCTAAGATAATATTGTTCAAATTTTATGAATAATGTAATTTATATCTGTATGATTTTTAATATACAGTACAGTATTTTCTACGACAAAAGCCTTGAGAATTGCAAATAATCAGTGGATACTAATTGGGTAATAACAGGAAAAGAGAGTGCCTTTTGCCTGATTGAATTGGCAGATGTTATCGAGAAAAAAAAGAAATATACATTTTTTTTTATTATTTCACTAAAAAATAAAATTTATTATTGTTTATAAATGATTATTTTTAGACTTTTTTTTCTCATTATTCAAAGTGAATCGTCTATATGAAAATCAATTTTAGATATTGTCAAATTGTACTTAAAATTTATGAGTTATAAATTCTTCGATAGAAACTGACATATTGAATATCTACGTAAGTGAAGTATCTTTTTAATAAAAAAAAGTTTCATAAATAATTTAAAAAAAGAATATAAAATTCGTTAGACTTCATATATATATATGTGAAGTATTTTTCTAGGCAAATTATTTCCAGATGTCACATCGCCTTATCTCACACAGCATAAATAGACTAAATAAATCATTCCCTGCTTGATTGCTTGGTTGTTCTAAACAAAAGAAAGAATTTAGATCAACTAGATTTTTTTTTCCATTGGATATTATTAATACAATTAAACGATAGGAAAATTCCATTAGTATATTTTTCAGCTGATTAGAACTTTCATAAAAGAAAAGACCGACGACGGCCACCATCTAGTTTATCAAATTTTTTGTTTTTTTTTTGACATGTTATATAATATTGTATTATTCGACTGAATCTCATAAGAAATCTAGAAGATATAAAATAAATGTACCATGAAAATGACACGCTTTTGTTTTCTTTTTTTCTCCTTGATTATTGCTTGCTTATGTTTCGTAATTCGTCATTTATATTTGAGTGTTTATTTCAGAATAAATAAACCAAGAAACCTTGACAAGTCAAAGAAATCAAGGGTAACGAACAAAAATACGTTAACCATACTCTTTCAAATTCATTAGAAAGATTTTTTCTCACATTAACACAAAACCTAGATATTTAATTAAAAAGTCTGTATTGTATCGTTAGATATCTATATGTAAATAACGAAACATATACAACACTCTCGTAATTGATAAACATATCTCATTGTACAAGTACAATAACATATGTATAAAAAATGAACGTTGACAAAATGTATGAGATATACATAAAGATGATACGAAAAAAAATCTTTAAAAAAGTATCCTTTTTAATCTAGTTAATATCAATATTTGAAATCCAAATATAAAATATGGTAATAAATTGCTTTTAATAGACGAAGCTCGATTACACATTTCTTTTGCACACATACAAAATCTTCCTGTGCTAAAATTTGCTCCAGTTGCATGTCGATAACAAACATCGATTTTTGATAAACGAAAAAGAAAATAATCATTTAAACAACCACGACGTACATAGGTATCATTTGTTGATATTCCATCAAAATGAAAAAATTTTACACAATAATCAGCACATTCAACTGTACGATTAGCACGATGCATTTTAAATGGATCGCCACAATAATCATCAACACGTGAATCACATTGGTAACAAACAAATTTTGCCATACTACATGTTTCTTTTGCTACAACAACAAGTAACGTACGTAATTGATGGATTAATATAGACAGATAAACACTAGACAACTGTTTCAATAGAAAAAAGAAACCATAGAATAGTATATAAATGTATACATATATATATATATCTTCATGGTCAAAACAAAACAATATACAATCAATGAAAATCAATCTTCATTAGTTGAAAAATTATGAATTTTTTTTTTTGTTTGACTTTAAAGATGTATATATATATATATATGTGTATGATAAGGTAGTTAATATACTTACAACTTTCATCGTGTACCATTCGGTACGACGGTTAATAAAATGAAGAAAATTGAATTTAAATATTAATTAAAATCATAATTTTAACTGAAAGTTTATCTAAAAGAAAGATTTTTAATTGAAGTAGAAAATTTAGTAAATATGACAGACTAAGATATATTAATATACGTGTGAATTTTATGAATGTCCAGTAATTAATTGATTAGACCTTGAAATTGCTATTACTGATCTATCGATACAGACTTGGTAAGCGAGAGAGAGAGAGAGGCCATCATCAGCTTCGTTCTCGCTAGTATGAATTTGGTTAAGCCACTAGCTTCTGTTTGCTATTCCCTCTTGTTCTTTTCTTTTTTTTCTTTTTTTATTCGCTTTGTCATCATCGACACAACAACAAATTGGGGCTAATGCGCTGCGTTCCGCTTTCTTCTCGCCTTGTCCTATCTATGTATCTTATGCATCCATCTATATATTGTATGCTATATTTTGTTAGGAGTAAGCTCGTTTAGACAAAACGCTAAGATGGGATTCCGCCTATTCAATTTGGTACTTAATGCTAAAGATGTCAAAGAAGACGAGTCAGTATGGTACGAATATATAATTTGAGTGACAAGATCGATGCGTAAAATCATCGATTCAATCATCAATAAATTTCGTGTCATACAGAAATTAACAAGTTGTAGTTTTTTTTGTTTTTTAAATAGACGATAAGAAGTGCAGGTGTTTCTATGGGGAAACTACTATTGTTCTCATTTCTACCTTTTTTTTTCATACCACTCTCGTTGCCATCAAATATACAAAATCATGTAATGGAACAAATAATAATAGCACTTGATCATTCATTCATAGCACAACACTTTCATCTTGATTTCTTAGAGTGATTTTTTTTCTTGCCTTTCTATATTATTATCAATCTAGATGCATCTTGATATTTATATAAGTACTTACTTCTATATTTGATTTTGTAATTTTGTGATTAAGATAGTCATATCGGATGTAATGTTCTCTATACTTCTATTTGTTATTATGCGTTTTATAGCTTGTGTATATATATATATATATTTCCTTTTTACGAGTTTTGTTTCTTCCTTCTCTCTTACCTCTCGTTTTACTGATGACTTACCGTTGTAAGTTACAATGAACAAATCGCTAGAAGAACCGCCTACTATGCCAAACATTTTTTGTTCGTCTTTTTTTATGTTACATACATATTCTCTCGGTTTTTTTTTCTATTACCGTTTTTTGTCGACATTTTTTATTGTTATTCCTGTTAAAGGCAAAGCAAAATGATTTTGTCGCTTGCACATAATCGAGGAAGTAATAATAAGCAGAAGAAAAAGAGAAAAATGTAATGCGTTAAAGAGACTGTTGACACTTAGTTGTCGATGCTACCATTACCGTCTATTTCTCTCTCTTCTTGATGTCGTTAAGTTTTTCTACTTAGATAAAAAATGATGTAATGATAGAAAATGCATGAATTAACTTGTCTCGAGAATAAAAAACGTGTGCTACGAGACAATATATTTGCGTACATTGCTTGTGATTCTATAAATTAGAATGTATCTTTGATTTATGATTTGATAATATCTAATAGTAATATTTAGACAGATAGATTGATGACTTTTATATTATCTAGATTGAGAAATTCGAGTAGTTCTTGATCTAACATAACAAAATCATGTATTATAATAGATTTCAAGTGTTATATATTTCACCGATAGCGTTAGTAAATACACAATGACATTCCGTTATAAATCACTCTTAGAAATTTTGTTTTGTTAAACGGAGAACGAGCTTTAGGCACAAGCTTAAAAATATATATTAAAAAAAGAAAAGAAAAAAGAAACAGGTAGATTTAATACTTAATAACCGGATATTATTTCAATTTCAAGTTAAAATGAAGAAAAAAAACACATAATCTAATTTTAATATTTATTCATCATAGTTGACGAACCGAAAAAGAAATTAAATAGACATTTCATTTTTTTCTTCTTTCTATCATCATTTACGCTTCTTCAAATTTCAATTAAACGGATATTAAACTGTATCTAGTAGAAGATGCAACATAAAAAAATGATAATACTTATAAAGCCAAAATTTCCGGTAAGATTACGATTAACTTAATTTGAACAGACAGTTATAGAATAGAAAAGAAATTTTATAGCATGCTAATATATCTATTCTTTTGCATGATTACAAGCTTCCTATTTACTATGGTTGACATAGTCATATAATATATATTTTGTCATATTATCTTTTACAAACAATATAAAAAAAAGAAAGAAAAAGATTATAGACACAAGAGATTATCACATAAAACGTATTTTATAAGTAACAAGTTCAGCAAATGGAACAACAAGTTGAGATGTAATATTTAATTTTTCTTTTATATGTCGTAATGAGAGAGATGTTTGTTCTATTGATTCGATTTGATCTGATGAAAATAAATGCTCAAATCTAACTTGTTCCGAATAAAATAATGAATCATAACTTTCATCACAATCATAAGCAAATCTTCGTAGAATTAAAGCAAGATTTTTTGATGAACTATATTTCGTATCATTATTATTATCATTTAATGTACGTAAATTAACTAAATGATAATCGCTAGGAAGAAATAATGGTTTAAAAAATAAATTTAATGTATGTAAAGTTGATTGAGATAATAATGAATAAAATACATGTGTTGGATAAAGAAGTTCAATAGATAAATGATGTGCTAGAAGTGTTGGATAACCAGTTAATGATGTTTGATCAGCCATCTAAATAAAATTCAATTAGATAAAATAGGTCAAGTTAAGTGTGCTTCAAATTTGGAGTTTACGAATATCGAATTTCTCGCGAAAAACTCTACCTGAAAACTATAATCATCTGTTTTTGATTGCTCTACTAGATACTGTAGACTGTATTGAATCGACTGGTGATGCTCCAGAAAAAAAAGCACATAGTTACAAGCTGCAATTTGTTGAAAAACTTGAAAATCGTAAACTTCAAATTTAACTTGACCGATAAAATATTATTTTATAAAGATACTTACAAGTACTGTACGACGTGGTTCAAATAAAATTTTAAATGTACTAATAGTTTCACGATTATCCATAACACCTTCACCTAAACCACGACCATCGTCACGAGTAAGACGTCGATCAAGAAAAACATCAATAATACCTAAAAAAAAGATAAATTTTATATCTTATAAGACAATCAAAGTTTATTAATATATGACTTTTGAAACAATATACAAGACATTTCTAATGTATTGAAGTACTATCAATATAGCTATAGAATCTCTTTAGGGAATCGATTCTGACTGTTCGTTTCCTGACAATTCCCTGATTGATTATAACTATAATAATGCATTATTCACATCGACATATACATATTTATTTGTTCATACGAGCTTTTATTTTCTATAAATACGCAACATTTGTTAGGCTTTATTGTCAATGAATTCGATTAATTTTGATTAAAAATAAAATTACATTTATTTCTAGAATATTATATTTTGTGTATAAGAGAAAAAAAGAGATAACGAAGTTATAAGATAATGAGATTTTTTTACCTGGTTTTAAACATGTTACACCGGATGGTTGACTAGCAAGAATAGTAAATCTCATGCGATCATCTTCAATATAAGCCATTGTTGGCATTGGATACACATTACCTTGTAATGGTAATTTATCATAAGTTTTTCTTCGAATCATCTATAGTAAAATAATTTATTCTATAATCAGATTATTAACTTAAATACCTGAAAACCATTTAAATCAGTAAAAAAATCTGCTCCATTTTTAATACCCGTAGAAAATCGTAGAGCTAATTCTGTATCTTTCTTCATATTTAAATGAGTTGTTACACTTAATTCAAGTGTATAATCATTTAAACCTAATGAAAATATTTTATAAGCACATTCAAGTAATTATTTAACTAACCTTTTGTATCAGTTAATTTATATTGCATAATATACATATCATGAATAAAATCAATTCGATTAATTAATCGACCACGTTGTACACGAATTAAATTATAATTATTTGTAGGAATATCTTGTGCATTTCCATTCGGTATAAATAAATAAGCACCACTATGATGATCGGATTGTTTCGATGTTCCATATTGTATAATATTCGAATGAAAACGTATATGTTCATCAGATATTTTATGTTGAAGACTCAATATATCACCAGTTTTAGAGAATATTATTCCAAGAAAACGATTACTTATTTCAATTAATTTCGTTTTAATTACTCTCTTTACAAACGGTCTAAATAATAAACAAATAACGATCATTTGAGAACTCGCTTAGCTCTTTCTCGTAGAAATGTATCCTCTTCACATTTACTAGAAAAATAATTGAAAACCGTGAAAAATCGGTTTTCGATGTTTTTTTGACCTATGCACTCTCCTCACCATGGTCACCCAACAGACCTCAAATTCGAAATACCTCTAGAAATGTCTTTTTCAAAAAATCAATTTCCGATGTTTTTTTGACGCTGCAGACACACAAGCAAGTAAATAATTTATGTTTACTCTACTCTTCTCTACGAGAAAGAGAATAAAATCGCGCAATTCGATACTATGAAGTTAAAACTCGTTGAATGAAATTTTTATTATTACGATTTTGAATAATCTGACATTTATCTCTTTTATGACAACAGATGCGCACTAAACGTGTTTTTTCTTCAGTATAGGAGATAAATAAAATATTTCTACTAACGCTGTTGAATCAGGTACTTCTTCTTCAGTAATATATTCAATTTTAGTTATTGGACATATTTCTTGTGCTGTAGTCATATGAATAGTATACTCCCTTATAGAATATGGTTCAATATCAACTTGAATAAGAAGCTAAAATAATAATAAGAAATATTTAGATATATATAGACATAAATGAATCAAACTTCAAACTGATTTTCTTCTATTGTATTTGATCGTCTACTGGACCATTTTGGATCAATTTGACATTTATCTATGTATTTTTTGTTACTGGTTACATATACTTGATATATATTAGTAAAAATTTTAACAAGTTCAATTCGTTTTCGATCGGTTGGATTATAAATATAAATAATATGATTTGATTGTTGTCCCTTCATAAATGTAAGCATTCTTCTTATTGGTAATGATTCATATGTTGGAAAATCTTGACTTAATACTAAATATTGAGTATTGAAGTAATAATTATTTTGAAATAGAAGATAAGCAGCTGATTGTTGCATAACAATTTCGGATATTTTTATTATTGCTAGAAGTCTTTAAAACAAACAAATTATGATATAGAAATGAAGAATTTATTAGATCTATATACTTTCTTCCGTAATCATTAACTACATGAGCTCTAGCTGTACCTGTTATACCATCATGATGTTGAAAAATACCAAGATTTCGTCGTGCTTGAATTAATGATACAAATAGATCATTTGTTGGAAAAGAATTGAATGTTTTTTCTTGAAGTGATTTAACATGAGCAATTGAAAAGAGTATTTCGGTTGCTCTAAAACGATATCGGAAACTTCATCTAGTAATAACTTTTCCTCGATTAAGAATGTGAGTGTTCTCCTTGCCTCCATTCACTTAAATATCAAAATTCGCGAGAAAATCTAAGAACATTCAGAAACTTTTAATTGGCAATAAATACTCTATCGCTAAGATAATGTATTTTCGTTAAATATGACTTTTTCTTGATTCCGATAGATACATGTTTCTAAAATCTGTTATTAATGAACTCGGAATAGAATAATTACAGTTCGATAAGAAGATTTATGAATATCACTTATTCTAATCTTTGTTTTCGATTGTAAGTATAGATCGTAATGATAGTTTCTCATTGACGCCTGGATTTGATCTTTATCAGAGTCTCACAGGATTAAATACATCTCATTGATTATATACTATATTGACAGAATATTATATCAAACATTTAGAAGGAAAATTGTGTTTCATAGCTACTAAACGAATAATGAACTCACGGAAAACAACTCAGATTGATTAAGCTCTCATGTGAATTAACAATACTAGTGAAATCCCTCTTGTCATGTTTTATCATATCGTATGTCAACCTTTATATTTTTAGACTGATGAAATGATATTTCAGTCACGCAATGAATTTGTATTTCCTTAATCGGAGATATGTAATTTTTTCTATTTTATTACCTAAGATAAGATTCAGCAATACGATCCATTCTTTTAAAAAATGCTCTTGATGTAAAATAACCACTCCAATAATTATCATCATGATCGGCATATGTAAAAAAGTCTCCAACATAACTCGGAAAATCTTGAAGAGATTTTTCTTGTAAAACTTTTTCAAAATAATCACTTAATGTACCATATTGAATCTAAAATATAAATATTTTTTCAATTTATATAAAAAATTAAATCTTACATCAACATTCCAATCTGTTCGTCTATTCATATAAGTTAATAATTTATCATAATTTCCGAATTGAGCTCGAACTTCATACATCATTCTATAACGAAAATCATCACCTAATTGAACAAATAAAGTATTTGTTCGATATAATTGAGCTTTTTTTCTATATTGATCTAATAATAATTCAGCTCTTGAAAACAAAAAAAAAGGAATTAACGAATTATAGATTAAAGTTAATACCTTTCTTGAACATTATTATCATTAATAGTTACGGGATTTATTCCCCATGAACAAACCGTATTAGAATCAGCAGAACGTTTGAAATCAAATTGACAACAAATTTTAGGATCAGGACCACATGTATGTGGAATATCATAAGCATAAAATGGAAGAACATGTGTAAAAAGTCGTGTAGAAGTACTTCGATCTAGATGAAATATATATGTATATGAAATTAGAAAATAACAGTTTTTATTTACCCCATGTTTGTTGCCAAAGAAATTCTAATTGTTTTTCTTTTGCTAATGCTTTTTTTATATGATAATGAACTCTAAATAAATATCAATGATTAAATTCGATTGATATATTCAAAATTTACCGTTGAATAGCCAGATGTTGAATACCAGAACCTTGCAGTAAATAAGCCATAGTTGGTGAATAACCAAATGGATCATTAGCCCAACTACTTTTTATTGAAATATTTCCTAAAAGATTATGATATCGAATACAATCTCAAGATAAAGAAATTTCCGAACCTATTTTATGTTCAATAAATTGATGTCCTTCAATAAGTTGATCAAGCATTGAGAAATAATGTGTATTCGCTTCATCATTCATTACCTTACAAGAAAAATAAGATAGTATGTGTGTTAATAATATCTAGACAACATCGGTAAAGTATAATCTGATTAGAAAGGTGCGAGCTTTAATTCGATCGCGATCGATTATGGCTGATGACATACTTCTCACATCGAGAATGATATCAAGGTTAGGACATCAGGGCTTACTGTTTCTTCGCTAATACGATATTCGTTATTGACGAAAGTACAGGGGTGCGTTGGCGGAATTTCAGAGGATTCACGCCAAATGTAATTACATAAGATTAGTGTAGAATACATGTGAAAACATAACCCAATATTATTAGAATAAGCATACCATAGTTTAAACTCCTCAACATAGTTACGTGGAGCTATTTTTACACATATGTAATCACATAATGGCACTGGCGAAATTCAGCCTTGGTACTTGCACTATATTAAACTCGAAATTTTAAGACTTAAACTTTTACTTCAGAAAATCATAGAAAACTGATTCATATTTTGAGCTTTATTTTAGAATAAAAGTTTTTCTAGTTCAGTTGGTGATTATAATGTAAGATGATATTTTTTTAATTTGCTTACCCAACCACCAGTAACAATTTCAAATTGGTTATCAGAAATAAGTTTTTTTAATGATTGTTGCTGTTGAATTGTTGCTTGATCCCACCATAAACTCAAAAAAGACATTTCTGCCCAAATAAATTTATAGTTTTTATTTTTTTCAAGCGTTTGTATCATATTATTCATAATATGTCTTGTTCCATACATAAAATATTGTTCAAATGTATTAAGCCAACCTAATGAAATTCAATAAGAAATATTTTTTATTAAAAAATTTTATTTAACCTGGATCACAATGTGAATGAGGCATGAGTATTATTTTTAATTTATTATCTGGTGTCCACTGAGATGTATTATATTGAATATCAAAACCCTGACCCCATACACCACCATTTTGATTATCAAATGGAAGACTATCATACAACTGACGAATCTAAAGTAATTAATAGAAATAATTCTTAGTTTAAATTGATAAATGTATTTCTTTTTACTTCAAATGAAGTATTTGTGGGGGAAGAAGTTCGCCATGTACATTGAGTATTTATTTGTTCGGATTTGGATGATATTGTTGAATTTTGATTTACATTTGGTTGTGTAATTAATTTGATTTTAGGAATTTGATGTATTGCCTCTATTTTTTGCGGTAATATTAGTTGCTGCTTTTGTTTTTGACTAACCTCTTTAAATGCCTTATTAATATCTCGAATTGAATCTTGAATATCATCAAGATGTTCATTAATTTTCTGTTGTTTTGATTTCTATTGAACATAAAAATTAATTGAAATTGTTAATTTAAGAATATTTCATTATTACTTGTCGCATATCTCTCTCGGTACTAACTGATTCAAGCGTTATGTACAATACAATAACTACCAGAAGAAAGAAAACAAGAAAAAGCGAACGAGTATACCATCGACGGCTCATCATCTACAATAGATAATATAATTATTAAGCATAGAACTTTAAACATGCAAAATTTAATTTCATAAATGAAAAAATTGTGTGAGTATGATTATGCAAGCACTTGATATATAGTAATGCAATCTTTTTTTATTTTGAATAACTATTTTGTGGCTTTGTGATGAATTGCGTAAGAATGAAAAGAAATCACCTGAAGGTATTCTTTTTAACATGTCATGAATAGAAATAATGAATTAAATTTTTTACTAGTGTACATCGATTCTTACATATACTTCCCTCCGCCAATAGTAGAACTCAATAGTATCATATATCACAATGGCTCAATGATCTGTGAGAAGATTCAATTTAGCTGAAAGTACTGGAATGAGAATATTCATGATGATCTATATCACTCTAAGTTAATGTTGTATTTATTGTTCTGAATATAAATTTACTGTAAACTTGTAATTCTTTTCTTTTTGTAATAATTTCTGAGAAAATGTCTATTGTATTCCACTAATAATTAAAACTAAACTAGAAACTTTTTGTGTATAAACAAATATTAGGCTAAATTTTTTATATGACTAATTCTATTAACATTGTAGAAATCTTATTTTCTTACATTCGAAAAATGAAAAGTAATATTTTGATTGATAATTGTGAATATTTGACTATTCTTTTCAATATATTTTATTTTATAGTTGATCAGCAATGTCATTTATAGTATAATATATTAGTGTAAATTATGTTCTATAGGATAGATATTTAGAAATACAGAATATTCGAAAGAATGTTGAATAACGTGCAATACTTAGAATATTGAAGATAATTTTAGAAACATGAATTCGTATTCAAGTATATTTTTTGTTTGAATATAAGATTCTACATCTTCGCTATTAGTTAAGATAATGATATAATAATAATGATTATAAGCAATTAGGTGCAAAAGTGTAAGCCTATCAGAGCAATATATTTCAAGCAAACTAAACATAAAATTTTATTAAAATTTTAACTTTATTAATAGAAATAATTTGATATATCTTTTTACTGATGATATAATATGCGGAGTCAGATTTATTTTTAGTACTTAAAGTTAGTTTTTACAGTAGTATACAGAAAAAAAAGAACGTTAGTTGGAAAAACTAAAGATTAGAAGGTAGCACAAATTAATATTGTTAGTAATTTAGAAAAAAAATGAGATTCATAAAAAAGAGGAAAAAAAATGAAGCGTGTTTAATATAAGTTCGTAATTTTGTTCATATGTCACAGAAATTGCTAATGAAAAAGAAAAAAAAAGGAAAAATAACAATGCACAGTCACGGAATAAAAATGAGTATTCGTTTTGGTTTTTTTTTGTAAAGATCACTGTTATGATATTCTTTAGTTTTTTTACATATAAAGCCCATTGATTAAATAATCTTCATCAACTGAATAATTTTTCAATCTACGACCACGTTTTCGTGAATCACGACAATGACAAAATAGTAAAACAAATAAAATAATTGTACATATAATACCAAAAACAAGAAATAGAATAACACTTGTTTCACGGAAAAATGATCGTTTATTTGAATAATTGTTATCAGCTAGAATAGAAATAAATAAAAATAAATCACTTTTGTTTTTGTCAACCATGATTAGTTTTGACTATTCAATGGAAATAACAAAAGATAATTCTTGAGATCTAATACCATAAAAAATAAGTCTCGGATTGATCTTTAAAAAGTATTTATAGAACGTCAATAGATATTTAAGGAAAGGATTGCATAATGACGATGATGACCAGTCGAAGAAAACAGATTTTTAGTTGAAAGTAAACACAGAGACCATTTGATTGTTTACGCGTCAATATTTTGGTGAATATCCGAAAGTGTACACACTCATTCCTTACAAAGATTTTTTTCCTAGACATGCACTAGTAAGAATAGTTGACTACTCAGCTGTTAGTACTAATAGAAGCAACTAAATCAGTCAATATAATACTTACTCATAGTTGATGTAAATATTGCATTATTTTTTACTACTGTTGAACTTTTATTATACATCATAACTGTATAATCTTGATGTGATGCTAATATACAACTTCCATTACAAGCAAATAAATAACATTTATAACCATCCTAAAAGAAAAGAATTTAAAAAATAAATTTTAAAATAAAAATAAATTTACATGAGTAGGTTGTTCGCTGAGCATAGCTAAATCACATGTTTTTTCTTTACAACATTCTTGCATACAACTGTCTTTAACTTTAACATTAAATGGTAATGTTCGTTTATCGATAAGAACATATCGTATCATGCGAGCACCATTTGTTAATTCTTTTACTTTAACTAATTGTTCAGGTTTAATATCATATTTAGCAACACACGTTGATGCATCAGATGAATCTTTTGGATCCGTTGCTAGTGTTGTTGTTGTTGCTGTTGTTGTTGATTTTGTTTTCTTTGATGGTATTACTTTAGTTGTTGTGTCATAACTTTCTGATTCTTCTTCGACATAGTCATTTTCAGGAAGAAGTTTTTCATTTGATGGATATATTTTTTTGTCCTGTAATGATGCAGAATAATCTGGAACTTCACCGCCTTCATCCGCATTGTATTGAGGATCTGGACGATGTTTATATTCCTCATATTTGTTCGTGAGAAGATCCTCTAAATCATATAGATTATTATCATAACGACGTAATTCGACAGATGAGATTAATACGGCGAGAAATAAAACAAAGGACTTCATCTAAAAAATAGTTTTTATTAAATATTAAATATTTAATAGTTGAATGTCTGAAAAGGAAAAAAGAACTGATATTATGTAAAACAAAAAACTAACAGCCCGCTTGCAGATCGGAAGTACTTTTTTACTATTATAATTATCATTTCAAACAGATAATATACTTTACATAGACTATCTTATTTTAACTTCGAGAATACAATATTTGAGATTATATTTGTAATCTTTTTTTCTTTTTAATCTCCTGTTGTAAAGTAAGTGGAATTAAATTTGATTTCTGTACAATTTCACGCATTTTACTACGAATTTCATTTGTTGTTCTTTGTAATGATTGCGAGGAAGATAATTCATTCGTTGAAGATGATTGTGTATTATCTTTTGGAATAAGAGTTGAATGATTATATTTAACTGTAGATTGTTTTTGTCGAAATTTGTTCATTGATTGTTTTTTATCTTTTACAAAATGATTCATATGACTTTTATATTGTACAACTGTTCTTCGTTCATTTAATTTTTCTCTTAAATCATCTACATTTTCACATTCAGGTGCATAACATACATGTAAACTTGATCCCATAAAATTCATATCATCAAGACGACATTTAGCTTTACGTGCATTTTGTATTTGTACATATTTAACTAAAATAGTATCAAAAAATTGTTCATCATCATTAGAATCTTTTCGTTCATATCCATCTAATTTCCAATATTGTTCAGTTTGTCCATATTGATTAAAATACGGTAATAATTGTTCAGTTACACCTGCAATCGACGGAATATTTTGTACAAGAAGATATTTTGATTCTTGTGCTATTGTATAAACTTTAACAGCACGTAATTTTTTCCCATTACGATAGGGTGGACGATTTAAACAAACATCATCTTTAATATGATGATCATGTGATTGTAACATCTAAAGCGGAGAAAAGACTAGGTGTTTATCTTAATTAGAAAAGCTAAATAAATCATAAAACGAAAAGGGTAAGTAAATAACTATAAAATATATACAAAAAAAGAAAAGAAAAAGTTTATTAATAATCCTGAAGCGAGAAAAAGCAGGAAAAAAAAGCATATTTCGTTGATGGTGTTGACTAGAAAATAATATCTTTATTAGTTTTGTATAAATGAGAATTGTAGATCAGCACCATATTTTTTCTTGAGCAAGGATGAGAATACCAAATGCGTGGAAGCAATTATGAATGTATATATAAATATGTTTGATTAAAATAGATAATATTATGTTAAAAAAAAATAATTAATTCTTTGTTTCTTGTTTACTTGATAAACGTTTTTTACGTACTAAAATAAAGCAAATAAGCATTGATTCGTTTTATTTTATTTCGTCTGAAATAAGCATTAATGATTTTCTTACAAGCATCAATATTTTGTTTAAGTTTTTCAGTAACACGAACACGTGGTCCAAGTGTATCAAATTGCATATTTAAGCGAAGAAGTGTGTTATTTTGAGCAATAGCATCTGCAACTTCCATTTCAACTCGATTACCAAGAATTTGTGAACGCTTAAAGAGAAATGCGTGAAAATAATTAATACAAAGCAAAACATAGTGCTAGTGGTGTGTAAACTATAAAAAGAAAAGGTGTGAGTATGGGGACCAAAGTAGTATAGTTACTGTTCATTGTGTCTGAATGAATAAATAAATCATTCGTTGGCTGAAATAATGCAAACATAATTGAAAAAAAAAATATTTAATAATTTCATAAAGCTGGAAATGAAATTATAGCGAACTTGTTCTTTTACTTTTACATATAGTGAACATTCATTAAAGTTTGAATATTAAACAAGTAACGCTCTTTCTGGTAGAAATGCATCCTCTTCATATTTACTGAAAAAACAATTGAAAACCGTGAAAAATAGGTTTTCGATGTTTTTTTGACCTATGCACCCTCCTCATCCAACAGACCTCAAATTCGAAATACCTCTAGAAATGTCTTTTTCAGAAAATGAGTTTTCGATGTTTTTTTGACCCTGCGGACATACAAGCAAGCAATCAGACAATTTATGTTTACTGGACTCTTCCCTACGAGAAAAAGAATATCCTTCATTTCTTTTCTTTTCGGTATTTTTCAAATCCGGAATGTATTATTTCACACTAGTTAATAGTGATATGTAATTCTAAAAATACATTGTTTTCCCTTTCTAACAACATTTATTATGCATAGTTGATGTCTCAGTGTAACAAATGTTTCTCCTAAGTGTTGCTTTGGGGAATTAATAAGAACTGACAACTTTTCTTGTTGATCTATTTCCGTTTTATTGATATTAATATGTATATATAGTGTAGTATATTAGTTTTTCATTATTCAAATAAATTGTAAACGCAATAAGATATCGAAAGGACGTTAATGTATTTTAAACAAGTAAGAACATGAGATTATAATTCATATCTGTACTCTTCCGCAGGAAGTTTTTTTTAAAGAGTTTTATTGACAATATATATTGCTTATAATTCTTATCAACTGAAGCACTGCATGGGTGAAGTAATATATTTATATATAAGTGCCTCTTACAAGTCGTAGGAGGTATAAGATAACGAATTACTTCACCCTCAATTTATTGATTTATCATTACTGGCTCTACTATAGTCTAAGAAAATAAATGATATGTGTAGATTACAGCGTCTCGCAAGAAGATTAATTGACGCCAATGCTACTGTTACATAGTTATTAATCATAGTAAATTCAGTGTAAAATAAATCATTAAACTAGAAGAGAATTTTAATTAGAATTCTTTACTTCCTAGTAAATGTATTTTTCTTTCTGATGATAGAGAATACCAAGATTTTCTTAACAGCTACTTATTTATTCTAAAAGAAATGTTTACTTAGATCTATATTATCACTGAAAGAAGATCAGCAAGCCTACGGCTACTGCGCTTATCAAATGTTATTAATCTTTCGTAGCAATCATTACTACATCTGTGTTGCATATAAATCAATGGATTACATATATATTTTTCTATGCCTTATACTAATACTTCTAACTTATGAAAAAATAAATAAAATCTTTACTTGATTTGATAAACGTAATTCAATCAATGTTTGATTCTTTAATGTACTTCGTACGATTTCAGTAATAACTGGACCTGTTAAACGATTTGATTCCGCATTAACTGTTTTTAATGTTGGATTTGCTTCAATAAGTTGTGCAAGAACCTAATTACAGAAATTTAAAAAAGAACATTAAAATTTCTATTTTCTTACTCGACCAATACTATCCGTCATACCAACATTAGCCATTTCAAGAATTTCAACATGTGTATTTTCTTTTAATGCATTAAGTAAATCTTTAAGTACATCAGCTTTAATTTCTTTAATATTATTGATATTAATACGAGTTAATTCTTTATCATTAGCTTCAGCTTTTTTAATACAATCTTCAACATTAGTTAAATTATCTGGTTCAGGTGGAACTATTCTTAATGGTTCACCTTTTGCTGCAGCTGAAAAAACAAAATTTTAATTTAAAAAAAAAATTCATTTTTTCTCATTCTACCATTCCAACCACCAGAATTTACAAATGTATTTTTATCCATAACTGCAGCATGATATTGTACTTGATTGATTAAACCAGTAAAACCAAGAATAGCTAAATTGAAACAAATTAAATGTATACTTATAAAAAAAATCAAATAAATATACCAGCAAGTTCACAAATTTCAGTTTCACTTGCATTTGTTAATACATCATCCCATTCAGTTGGAGCTAGGAAGTCATCTTCATCTGTCGTTGGTTTAACAACTGCTGGTGGTTCCCAAACTTTCCCTTTCTTTTCACCTGCTACATATGGTTTTTGTTCGTCCCAATCTTTTTCTTTTTGTCCTTGTTCAGTTAGAAATTCTAAAAGTTTTTTACGATCATATTGACCTGTTGGATCTTTCGTTGTTTGTGGTTTGCAACGATCACTTGCTGGTAAATATGAATTCTTAATAGAACAAGATAGAAAAATAAAAGGGAAAACAAACAATGATTAAAATAAGACAGATGAAGGACATATAAACATACTTCGGGATCAACAAGATCATTTATACTATCAAGTTCTTCAGCAGAAAGTACTGCTAAAAGTGAATCAAAATCATCCATATCATAATTTTCATTTGATGTTTTTGTAGCTGCCATGATGAAGGTTTGAATCAATATGATAAATAATGATGAATAATAATAACACAGATAATATCACGTAATACTAAAAAAAGGACACAAATATAACTAGAAAACAACATGGCCAATTATGTTTTATAATAATAATATAGATGGCGACTCTAAAGGAACAAAATTGATTGGATAAATAAGAGAACTATCAAGAATGAATGATTGTATATGTATTGAGTTACTACTATTAGAGAACTTCATGATATAGTATCGAATTATGTCTATTGTTGTTGATTTAGATGATCCGGTAAATGAGTTACGTTATAGAGTTATTAATCTACTATTGTTCTATATTTAGAATAATATATCACGATTATTTAATCTTGAGAAAAATTGGCTTATTGGAAAAACAATTTTAATAAATAATAATTTCAATTCATTAAATCAAATTTTTAATCTTAATGAAAATTCAACAAATGAAAATACGAATGATATTGTATGTCATTGTTTCTTTATATAGGTCGTCATGGAAATAACATAGGAAAAGCTAAATCTTGAGTTATTATTTCATTGAATGCTAAACTTATGATGAATATGAAAAAAACCTTCTTACTCTAATTAATAATATGAGAGTGTATATTTTCTTTCGATTAGACTGATCATGCTCGATTGCAACAAGTTCAACGTATACATATATTAAGTCAACAGTTAATACAAAGACCAAATCGAACATGTTTATCAGATATAAATGATACAATAGATATTGTGCGTAAGATGGCTTTTTTTGTATACATCTATATTATTGTATTTTATTAGCCATTACAAAATGAAAAGAAAATATTACGAAATATTATACCATCACAAAGTATTCTATTTGAATTAGCTCAAAATAAACCTGATAATACACGTTGGGCTAATACATTGCAAGATGAAGAAGTAAAATGAGAAATAGTATTGAATTTGAATATTATTATTCATTTGTTTTGATTTTTTAAGGAAATACTTAGTGATGATGATGGTTTTCAATCTGCTTCATCATCTGTTTCTGATGATAAAAAATTAAAATTAACTGTAGTTTCTATTGATCAATCAGATCTTTGGTCTCGTGCTTTATTACAAATTGAAAATAAATATTTCACATGGGAACAACGTGGCAGGTAGAAATTATTAGATATTTATTTATAAAATACCTTTTTTGTTTCTATTAATATTTATAGTTATATCTATAATCGAACACGTCCATTTCTATTTGATCTTCGTACTGATGATCGACCTTTTCAACATATATGTTTACTTCTTTTATTTAATAAACCAACCGAATCTTATTCTATTGATATTAATTATCATCCCATAGCTGTTGATGAATTTCTTCGTGATCTTTGTTATATGCTTATGGGTATATCATCTCAAACATTTGAATGGAATGAGGTTATTTAATTCTAAATCTATATAGTATTTTTATTTTTCTTATTAGATTAATCAAACATTTGAACTTAAATCAGATATGTATGTTCTTGGTTATACACAAATAACCATCGAAAAATTTTCATTAAAATATATTCAAGCTGGAAATCATTTCTATTTAATTAAACAATATGTTAATCAATCAACAAAAATATCTGAAACAGAAAATGAATTTTGTCAAGCACTACGATGTTATTTACGTTATATACAAAAATCTATTGCTGTACATGATATTGCAAAATATTCTTTAGTTAAATTTGCGGCTCAACTTGATCCAATTCTTTGCAGTCTTGAGTAAGTTTCTCAATAAGGGTGGATGGATGTGAGTGTGGGTGGGTTTGGTTAAATATAGATAAATGTCTATATCCACTCCCACACCCACCCTCAAACGTCTTTCTTTATTTTTCCCCTTTAAGTTGTTTCGAGCACCTAAAATCTTATCATTCTCATATTACGACTTTTTTACTTTCGACCTTAGTTGGAACAATCAATTTTTCATCTAATTTATTATTTTAGTCTTCCATTATCTTTAATATCAACTATAAATGAACTTGAACAAACAATACATACTTCATCACCAAATACATCAATAGCTTTTGTTAAACTTTCTTCGATTTTACATACACTTCTTAATCATAATTATCATACAATTGATCATAATTATTTTCTTTTACTTATTCATTTTGTAACATATACATTACGACCATTATTATCTTTTCTTACGGATCTTATTATTCATTCAAATTATCTTGATCGTTATAATGAATATCCAATTTTATTTAATTATAATCGTTTAATAGGTTTAAAAACAAATGATTTCTGGACAAAAACATTCACAATACGTTATTTATATGCTAATAATACAGATACAATATTTCATCAAATATTACCTATTGAATATTTACAACATATGGTTAATATAACACGTTCATTAATGTTAATTAAATTATGTGATAAAAATCATCCATTATGTCTCATAACAACAACGATAAAACCTGAATTAAAATTTCTTTATATGAATTTATTAGAGAGTAGTGATCAAAATCAAATATATAAATATCAAAAGGAAATGAATGAGAAAATCTTAGAATATGAACAAGCACAGTAAAGAATAAATTAAATTTGTTTTTTTTCGTTCTTATCATATGTGATATTTTAGAAAACAAAAACGACTTGATATTGAACAAGCTAAAGTTCAAGAACGAATGGAACTGTATGCTCGTCAAGATCAACAAAGAGCTGAAAGAAAAAGTCAGTTGAATATAATCATATACTTTTCAAGAATAGAAACTAGACACGAGATAATTTAAAAAAATACGTAATTTCGCGGTGATTGAAATATAATTGTCACGCGTATTTCATAGTTAACCGAAAAGTGCATTGAGTAAAACAAGCAAGGTCGTTTGGCTATAAGTGCTATTCCAATAAAGATCTACGATAAACAGAGGAATTATCGAATAAAATAAAGTCACCAATCAAGATGATCGCAAGGGAGAACAAACTGATTGCCATAGTAGAAATCAGGAAATCAGTTTGTTCCCCCTTGGATGATCGTCAATAACGGCCGATGATTATTTTTCGAGCTATTTCTGCCAACCTTCGCAATATGCCCTTGGACTTAAACTGAAATAGAAAAAGTGATAAACAACTTGATCCTACTATCCATCTAACAGCTAAAAATTATAGTAAAAAAATTTATGAAGACTTTTTGATACATCGTAGCTGACATTTCTTACAGGAAAGTAATTGTAAATCAAGGTTGCAATAATCTTATCGATAATTCTATTTTTTTTCAATTCTCTTTAAAATATTCTATCATGGACTGTTTATTCTCTTTGAAGTGTTTTATATCAGTTCTAATGAGGAAGAATTTTTGGATATTTATAGAAATTGCTGATGATGAAAAGCAACGATTACTCAAAGGCAAACAAATTCTACTCGATGAATGGCAAGAACAAATAGATAAAAAACAAAAACAAGTAAAACTGATTGATATCTAATGAAAAGTTCAATTGAATAATTTCTTTTCATTTTCAGTTGAAAGATGACAAACTTACCGAACAAATTGCAGATGCTGAATTGAATAAAGTTACTTCAACAACAACAATTATTGGTTCTCGTCTTGCTGCACCTTATGCTGATCTTGTAGAAAACGTTCGGTATAAATAATTCTTCATCTAATATTTTCTTTTTTTCTATTTATTTATTTTTAGGAAAGAAATTATTGCTGAATATGATGTTAAAATGCGTGATGCTAATGAAAGAGAAGAACAATTTCGTAAAAGAGTTCAACCTAATATTACTACAGATACTCCAAAAGAATTTCAATCGACAGAATCTCCCGCATCTTCAGCAAGTTTTCATACACCAGCGATTGATACATCACCAACAATAGTTCCTATTATTGATAATAAACCAGTCATTCCTATTTCTTCTCCAACAACTATTGAAAATACTGAAGATACTGAAACACTTGATTTAATGTCTACAATTCCAAAGATTGAAACACAAATAGTACATAAACCCATAGAAAAAACTATCATTCGACATACAGCAACTGAAGAAACAACTGAAGCACAATATCGTCCTGTAGTTAAACTTGTCTCTAGTAATGTACTTAAATCAACAATCCAGAATTATATGATTGATCATAATCCACTTGATGATAGTCAAGGTATATAAAAAATAAGATTAAGGAAAAAAAACCTTATCATTATTTTCTTTTAATTAAGATGAAGAAGAATTACCAGAAAAAATCTATGATTGGGATGCTATTATTGCAAATGGACCTCAATTTAAATACAACGATACATTCAGTAAGTATTACCTATTTAAAGTTTTCTTGCAAATATGAATAGACTTTAAAGAATATACTTGAGGGTGGGTGTGTCTATCATCTTATAACCCACCCTTCTTGATCATCTGCAAAGTTTGTACAGTAAAATATACGAAAAAAATCATATATTTATAGATTTCCATATCAAAGAAAAAGAGCCTCAATTATCCAATGAAAATTTTGCTAAATCTTGGTTTAATTATGATATGTCACCATTACGTGTTTGGTTAGAACATTCAATTTCACCATTAATATATGTTCAGTATGTAAAATAATATTTCGTTTATTTCGCAATTTTATTTTTCTCTTTTAGATCTCAATTAGTAAATCGTGCATTACTTAATTATTTTTTTGATGAATTAAAATTATTATATCATTTAAATAATCTTCGTTCATATTATTTTCTTGCAACAGGTCGATTTGGAGTTGCATTTTGTTCAGAATTATCACGAATATTGTTAACAAATGATGATGTACAAATTATCTATCGAGTTAATTCTATGCGTCAAATTTTATATACATCATTAGATCAAGCAGGAGAATTAAATAATTTAACTGATGTTCTTCAATTAACAGCAAAAATGGATATACCAAATTCAATAAGTCTTTTAGATTCTACATTATTTGATTATTTTGATTTACAATATAATATACAATGGCCATTAAATATCGTGATTTCACCAGATATGTTAGAAAAATATAAGATTATATTTCGATTTCTTCTTCGAATATTGATTGTTAAACAAGTACTTAATGAAATATGGATTATGCTTAAAGCTTGTAAGTAGAAAACAAAAATATAAATCATAGTATCACTTTCTGAAAGAATAAAAGTGTCAATTCTTGTAAATTATTTTCACATCAGAGATTCAATATTTTGTAATTAATCTATACAATGTGCAATATAGATACATCATTATTCACATATCTTTTTTGTAGTAATTGAAATTATTGCTATCACTATTCTACAAAAACATACAACACTAACTAGGGATTCCCGATTTTCGCTAATAAGATTTTCGCTAGTGTCATTATGTGATTATATATGTGTAAATATAGCTCCTAGTAACTATATTGAGGAGCTTAAACTATGATATGCTTATTCTAATAGGGTACGAACTAAATGATCAATTTTTTATTCAAAATGATCAGTTGTTTTTCTTATAACGTGATCAGTAAATAAATCCTTTCTGAGCAGTAAATAATATCAAATGTCAGTAATCACGATCAGGGTGTGAATGTGCCTGTGCATGTGAGTGTCCATCTCTTATCCACCCACCCTTTAAATTTTTTACTAATGATTCACAATAAAACTACTGATCGCTTTTACTGATCATTTTTAATAAAAAACTGACCATTTAATTTGTACCCGTTCTAATAATATTAGCTTATGTTTTCACAGATATTCTATAATAATCTTATATTATTGCAGTTGGTGAGAATCCTCTGAAATTTCGCCAATTGACGAATGTACTAATGGCGAAGAGACAGTAAGCCGCGAACTTTTGCCTACCTTCGCACATCCTCTAAGATTTACTGTATCTATTCATATTCTGATTCTATTCTGCATATATATCATTTATCTTTAACACTGATTTTTACCTCGCAAGTTATTCACAGGATTCAATGAATATATATTATCTCAATAAACTTCATGTTCTATTAATACTAATTTTATTCTTAAAGATTTCATCAAATAAAAAAATTCGATAATTAATCATGTTTGTTTTTTCTTTTCATCCAAGGCAAAAGACAAAATTCTACCTTAACACCATTACATCAATATAGGTAAAAATAATATATATTTAGTTTATTTTATGATTGTTTTTTTTCTTTCAGACATCAAATGCAACACTTTATGACTGTTCTTAGTAATTATATAACAAATCAAGTTATACAAATTGCTTGGAATGAATTTTTACGTAAAATACAAAAAGCTAAACATATTAATGAAATAGCTGCAGCACATAGTGAATATTTAGATAAAACAATGTTAAAGTAAACAATTTATTCTTTTTGTTTTTTGTGTCTTCAAAAAATAAAACAATATTTATTTTTTTTTAGTTGTCTTCTTACTCCAAATGCAGCTCCAATTCTAAATGAAGTTAATCGTGTTTTAACATTAATTATACGTTTTCGTTGTCAATTAAAAACATTCTCTTGGATTCTTGATGCAACATATACCGATGTATCCGATACAAGTATACAAGCATTACGTACAACATTTGAAAAATATCATATTGCTGTACTTTCACTTTTCAAAGGTATGTATTCAAAAAATATAAAATTAAAATTATTAAACAAATATTTCTTTTTAGTTTTATCAAAACTTGTTGAAAAAGGATATAAAACATCATTGGGCGATTTACTCATACGACTTAATCATAATGGTTATTACAATCGAATAGCTACGTCTTCCATTCGACAACATTAGAAATAATAGAATATTTTTCTTAATATGTCAGATTTCTCTGTTCTCTTTATTCGAAATTTAAAAACAAAATACAAAAGATAAAGTTTTATAATCAACGAACAAGTCTCATTATAATTGGCATAATTAAAACAAGTGTAGTTGATAATGTGATGGATGCTGCTGTTGAAGAGGAGAATTTATGAAAATCAAATTGAGTCACTAATGTTTTTTTAATTTTTTCAATATTTTCTATTGAATTACAAGCACCACGTTTACGACATCCTAATCTTATAACATCTGAACGAGTTTGATTATGAACTTGAAATGTTGTTTCATATTCAAGAAAATTTGCTAGAGCTTTATTTGCTGGACATGTTGCACAAATATCGATATGTTCTGAATATTGAATAATACCAATACATTGTTGACAACTAACTAGATTTATATTATTACAATTTGTTGTATTCGAAAAGTTCAAACATAAACGACCATCAAAATCTGTTGTTGGAACAATTAATGTATCGAATTTTTTCATTTGTTCATCAGTAGGAAATGTTACTGTGGCAATAGCTTGTTTTAAATTTTCAACTGTATTACATGGAGTTGTATTTGAAGGTTTACATTTGTAAATAATATGTCGACGAGTTTCATATTCACCAGACCATGTTGTAACTCGACGTTCTGTTTTAACTACAATACTATCAGTCGGTATATGTGAATCTGAACCGTAATATACTTCAGTTGCACTATGTTTAAACCATGTAATGCGTACAGAACAACTTCCATCTGTTGATGCTATTTCACAATCACCTCTAGTTGGTGGTGGAACATGGTCGGCTGTAAGAAAATCATTAAAAATCATTCCATCACATTCATTACATTTATTTGCCAAAAGATATTTTGTATATACGATCAAAAATAATCCACAATAATAATAATAATAATTGAATAATGTCATTTTTGGTTATGACTTTCTGAAATTAAAACTCTTTTTATAATATAAATAAGTAAACTTTTATCAACTACGTGTTATCTTCAATCAACAAAAGAGTAAATAGGAAATATGTGTCTCTGATTCATAGGATGTCAAGGACAAAGATAGATATTATATAATATGTTGTATAAAATTAATGAAATAACTTAGAACAAGTTTTGAAATCTCATTAGAGTATAGCAAGAGTACAAAGTGATATAATAGATTCAGTGATTTATCCAGCGGGGGGGGGAGGGAGACACGGGGCTTTTTGCCCTCTCGGAGGGTACCTCTACCCCTCTCCCCCACGGAATTCATAAAAGTTACGCTTTTTGAGTCTGAAACTATACGTTTGCCTCCCAGAAGAGAGATTTTTGCACTCCCGGCAGTTAATTTCGCACCCTCGGACCAAAAAAGCTGGATAAAACACTGAATAGATGTCTAGTTATATCCGTATTAAATATCAGTAGTATGCTCGCTTGAATTTCATTTTTTATTTCTCCCACTGCTCATGTACAATCTCAGCAAATGAAAAAGATACCCTAGGTGTACAGCAAATCTATATGGAAAGCAATCATAAATACAGTGAAACAGCCTGTCATCTGTTCCGAATAAGAAATAAATCAAAACAATACTTAGCGTCTTATATCAAGAGTCTATATATATGTATGATACTAAAGAAAAGAAGATAGCGTGTAATAGATTAGCAACGACACATACAAAAGAGAAATGTCTTGAAGTAATAAAATGAATGTCAATGTTTTATCTAGGGAGGGAGGGATACATGGGACATTTTGTACCGCGAAAGACTACGTTTGACCTCCCGAGATTTAAGATTTCTGCACCCTCGGAGATAAAATACTGATGACTGTAAAACATTATAAGAAATATATTATATCGTTTGTAATATTATGATTATTTTAAATGAAAAGCAACTGTTCTGAATTTTTTGTTTATATATAAATTGTCTCTTCTGCTATTTATATCTAAGATTTTGTTTTTCTACACATAAAAACAATAATAAGAAGATCAATCAATGTTATCAGCATATCTCTTCTAATTCATTAATAATTTGTGGTCAGTACGACTTCCCTCGAATAACTAACTTCATGTTTGTATTATAAACCAGTTCGTTGCTTAATGATAGACGATGATATTACAAAAGTATTTTTTGGTTTATAAGATCTAATAACTGTAAGCTCTTTCATTCTAGAAATGATAATAATATTATGTCGCACAGTAGACATAAGCAGCAAATAATTAGATTACCTTCTCAACTAAGCATTTGTACGTTAACAATAACACAATGTTCTTAATTTTGTTGATAATAGCGTTATTTCAAACTTTATTCGAATAAAAAAAGAGAACATCTCTTTGAATTATATTATTATTGATTTTAAGATTTTTTTGTAAAGAATTTTAAAACAATACTGATACAGAAAATAAATATTACTGTAAAAGAAAAAAATTTTATATTTAGTTTTCGTCATAGGATTAAGCTATAAATTAATAGTCAGTAAAAAAATAAAAACAAAACTTGGCTTGATTTATCATTTGATAAAAACGGAAAAATATCGATAAGTTTGCTTTTTTAAAAACATGATAATTCGATTCAGGTTCAATAATTGCATATTACCACTTTCGATGATGAATAGATCAATTAATTTTGAAGTTCTTGTTGAACTAATTTAATCCAATAACCAACACCAAAAGGAATATTTTCTTTATTAAAAACATATGTAGGAGAATGTATTGGACCAGATTTGTTTCCATTACCTATCATCATATAAGCACCAGGTTTTTCTTCTAACATATAAGCAAAATCTTCGGCTGCTGTAATAGGTATCATATTTCCATCCACACTTTCCTTACCAACAAGTGATTCAGCTGCATTCATTGCTCGCATTGTTTCTTTTACATGATTAACAAGTGGAATACCAGATCGACAATATTCTACTTCAACTGTACAACCAAAAGTTTGAGCTAAACCATCAGTAATTTCTTTCATTCGTCGTTCGACTGTATCACGAACTGATTTAATAAAACTTCGAGTTGTACCACCAATACGAAGTTTTGATGGCATAACAGCAAGTGCATCAAATGATCCACCTTCAATAGCACCAACACTAACTACAGCCGAATCAGTTGATGCAATATTACGACTAACAATCGTCTGTAATGCCATGATAAATTGAGCTTGTAAAACAGTTATATCTGTTGCTAAATGTGGTTGTAAACCACCATGACCGCCCGTACCACAAAATGTTACTACCCAACGATCTGATGCAGCCATCATAGGACCAGATCGTATACCAAATTTACCAACTTCCATGTTCGTTGTATTATGAAGTCCATAGATAGCATCAACTGGAAAACGTTCAAATAATTTATCTTTAATCATATTATAAGCACCTTGAAGATTTTCTTCAGCAGGTTGAAAAATAAAATGAGCTGTACCACAAAATGAATCACGATGTTCAGCTAAATATTTTGCGGCACCAAGTAACATCACTGTATGACCATCATGTCCACATGCATGCATAGCTTCTGGTATTTTCGAACTATATGAAAGATCTGTTTGTTCAGTTAAATGTAGAGCATCCATATCAGCACGTAAACCAATGGAATGATTACCAGATTGATTACTTTTAAGTGTACCAATAACACCATATTGACCAACTCCTTCAGTAACAGTAAGTCCATATTCTTTAAGTTTTTTTGCAACAAGTTTTGATGTACGTTCTTCTTTCAAGGATAATTCCGGATGAGAATGAATATCATGAAGAATTTCAACTAATTCATCTTGTATTGCATTTAATTCAGATGATAATTGTGAATCCATTTGTTTTTAATTGATCTAAAGATTTATAACCTGTATAATACAATGTTTTGATTTTGATTTTATACCGACAAGGTTAAAGAGGATAAATAATAAGTATTTATATATGCTCGACTCAGTCATGCAATTGAATACGTTCTTTGATCGAATAGAACAAGTAAATAAAAGTTTAAAATAAGAGCAAAACAGTATTATAATAATTCTGAAGATTTTACATTTGTTTCAAATAATCGGTTGTAACTATTCCGTATTGAAATACTATGATTTCAGTTTAGAAATTGAATAAATATTACGGAACAATCTATATCTAAATATATATTTAATTCCTTATTATTCATTGGTTGCTGAATTAACCATTTATCGAGCAATTTCAGGAAGCGAAGGAAATATCAAACTAAAAATAGACCGTTTCTTTATTCCTATCTCTACGGTATGTTAAGTATTTTATCACTGAACAGGTGAAATTAAGCTAACAATTAATTAGTACTTAATGACTTCATGTCTAATTAATAGTTCAAGTATTTACTATTATATGGATTTTTTTAATGAACCAAAATTTTTTTCTTATATTTAATAAATATATAAAATTTTAGTGAACAATTTACTCAATAATTTAGAAAAATAAATAAACGAATGTATAGCTATTTTTTAAAATAGCTTTTCATTTTAGAAGTAATTGTATGCAGATGATTATACAAAAGAGTATATTAGTTGATTTCATTGTTGTTGCTATTGAAGTATTGAATGTAGTAAAATTAAATTTTGTTACTAAAATTTGTTTTATTCGTTCAGTATCTACTAATAGGTTGCACATATAACCATTCTGACAACCAATTCTTATTTCTTCCGATTGATTTTTTGAATCGATATCGAAAGTTGTAGAATAAAGAAAATAATTTCGTTGTATTTCTTCATTTGTACATGTTTTACATATATTTGTAGATTCAGAATATTGAACAATACTCATACATTGTTGACATTCGGTTAAATTAAGTTTAGGACAATGTGTTGTATTTGATACTTGAGCACATAAACTAGCATTAAAATTTTTTGTAGGTCTAATTAATGTATCAAATTGTTCTATTTGTTCATTTGTAGGAAATGTTATTGAATTAATAGCATGTTTTAAACGATCGATAGTATTACAAGCAGTTTTAGTCGATGTACAACTATAACTAACTAATTTACGAGTAGAATATTTTCCAGTATTTATAATTACTTGTCGTTCTATTCCTGATAAGATTTTATTATCCGGTAGAGCTGGACCTATTTGATAATGTACTTCACTTGTACCATCATGTAACCAATCGATGTGTATATGACAACCATGATTTCCTCTGATTATATTGTAATCATCTTCAGTAGGAGTGGGAAGATCATCAATAGTAATGGAATAATTAAACAGCTTTGTAGCACATAGAAGACATTCATATGTCCATATATAATTTATATGAAAGAGGAGTAATATACAAGAATAATAAATATAATTGATGAATATCATTTGTATTTAAAATATAGTTATTCGAAAAGGTAGCACTGTTTGTTAGAATCTTTATCTAAAAATGACAATAAATCAGATGATTCGAATCGAAATAAATATTTATCATTAAACTTAAAAGAACAAGGTAAATATATTGGATAGACTCATTGTTAGTAAAATTTAGTTAAGTAGATCACAAACTCTTGTAGGAAAATACGGACGAAATATCTTACTAGTAATTATAATTTGTATTATTTGAGTAAATCATTGGTTACTAGCGTTATTTTACCGTTAATCGATCTTTCTAATAAATATAGGTATCCTTTTAGTACAAAAAGTACATACGCAGAATAACGAAGAATCTTTGTATTTTTGGTCTAGTACAACACAACCTTGCTGCCATATAATAAAATGTCTACGCGCAACATATATTATGCTTAGCAGAAACTAACAGTGTCAACAAACTACTGATATACGCATGAATAGTATCTAGTAGGTGGAGAAGTAATATTATAGAATCTATCTATTCAAAGAGTATATCATACCGTATCATGACAGCTGACATATATCATGATGGATCGTACATATGATAAGCAATTTAGCTTATTAGAAATCATCATACTTTTTTTATCTATTAGTAATAAAGTCTTTAGTTTAGATTATTCGAGAATAGCATCAGAATATTGTTTAAAACTAGTATGTATAACAATAATAGTTGAATAACTAAAATAAAATATTATTATCGCTTTTTCAATGACATTTGCCTAAAAACATCACGTGTCGTCAAAATGATATCAACACTACATTCATCGACTTATCATGACAAATCAAGGGTAATATGTTTTGCTATAATTATTAATATAAAAATACTTTCCGCACAAGTATCAGTATGTTTTTTCGATGCATTTATCCATCATCTATAACAAAATCATTTTTCGTAATTGAAACTTCTAAAGATCAGATTTCTTATCTGTGGCTTAGAAACTATTTTAATACACAATAATAATAACAAAAAAAAAATACTTTTCTTTTTATGATCGAGCTAGATCGAAACTATACTGTGTTTTATTGTCATGTGCCGATTTTCTCATATGAGATATCGTTTTTTCTTTCATTGTTCTTCATGTAAAGAACGAAAAAAAGGTGATGCTGCCATTAGCCGTACTCGTTTGCTTTATGTTTCATATATCACGTTGAAAAGATTAGAAGAAGATTTATATTGTCTAAACACATGTGAATTGAATATATACTCATATTTGGTTTTGTATAATCATTTCTTATTTTATTTTTAAAATAGTACAGGTATGAATATAGATATTCCAGATTAGAATTGTTAAATATAAATAAAATATTTTTTTTGCCAGCTGTAAATCTAGTATGCTTCAAAATAATACTGTCAAAACTGAGACAACAACAATCATTGAATCTACATTAAATAGTTATGATAATAGTGGTGCTATGATGTACATAATAGTTGTTCTTCTTTGGTATTCAATTGGTATTATATTTATGTTAGGAATGCAAATGAGAGCACGTTCTGAAGCTATTGAAGAATCAGCAAGACGACGAACGAAATTATTAATACGTAATTTACGAGATCATACAACGACAAAGGAGATACTAGGTAAATTTATTAGATAAAATAATAACAATTAGAAAGTTCTATATAGATTAACAGTCTGTAACTCTATCAGATAAAAAGTTTTATTGATGTTAGTTAATCGAGAGTAACAAAGAATTCAATTATCTACTAACTACAATTGAAATTCGAATAACGATAATCAACGTCTTAATATATGATTCATTTTTCGGAAATTTCGAGAGCAGAGGTCGCCGAGTATATTGTGTATGAAATCCTGTCATAATATCGTTATCAAGTGTCTATCGCTGCTTCAGGAGCGCATCCAGAATTTCCATGAGGGGGTAGTGGTTTATAAAAAAAAAAGTGGAAAGTGGTATTATTTTTTAGGAGAGAAATCTATAGTGAACTACCTGTTTTCAGTATTTGTAGAAGTATCTATTTTCAAGGGGATGGTGGTTGCCGTTTTGCCTAATAGCTAGATCCGCCTCTGTACTGCACTTTCACATAAAATCGATTGACAATTTTAAGGAATTTAATGCTTAAATACAAATTAGATTTCTGATCAAAAGCATTGTCATTATCTAACAATAACTCTAAAAATACTCGATTCTTTTTTTTCGCTGATATTTTTTGATGCAATCATACTCTAGATATCATTTTAACGACGCTCTTAGAAATCAGAAATTTTTGAAGTCCAACTTGACTCGTATCACTATATTTATTTTCGCGTATCTGTTATCATTTTCTACTAAATGTAATTTTGTTTATCTAGAAGAATTAGTCGATAAACAAAAACGAGCTCGACTTTGGGATATATATTTGGGTACAACAACTAATCCAAAAGATAAATTAAATCGTGCTGAAACAGTTCGTATTCGTAATATTGAAAAACAATTAGCAACTATGAATCGTAATCGTCGATTAACAAATGACACAGTTTTATTAGGTGAAGAAGATGTACGTTATTTTCGTAGTCGTTCAGATTCTCGACAAATTATTCAAGAATCATCAGTTGTTGAAACTGCTTCAGCTCTTCGACGTCGTTCATCTTTAGATCAACAAACACTTGAACGATGGAAAGCTCTTACTAATCAATCTAAAACACACGAACAAATGCCATGGACTATACGTAAATTAATGATTGGACGATATTTTCGACGTTCACCTAAAAAACCTTTACAAATAATTCATCAAGTTTCTGTAGATTCTGATCCAATTATAGATAATCTATCATCATTTACAAATCATATTAGTATGCTTACTCGACATCAATCAGAAATAATTCTTGATCGAATTCCATCATTAACTGAACGACAAAATCCTTATTTAACTTATTTTTATACATCACCAAATCATTCAAATATCTTAACAAAGAAATTTTTTTCTGTATCATCTGATCCTATAGTTCAATCAGAATGAAAAATTTTGGTTTTTTTTTCTTATTTCTTAATATATTTCTGGTTCTTTTACAAAATCAAACAAACGGCTCAACAAAAATGCAGCGCACAAATGGACGGAGCAAAAAGGAGAGAGAGAGAGAAAGAGAGAAGAAAAAGAAAACAAAATACATATACCAATAAATGTTACCTTACATACACTATACAAAGAAAAAAAGAAAAAAACGTTTATGATTCAACATGAGATTCAATATTTTATCACTGTCGGATACGTTTAATATAGTTATTATTATTATCATCATCAAAATTTTCATCTATTGATCGTTTTAATAACATTTGTTGTTTATTATTTAGAGCAGAAAGAACTTGTTTATCATTGATTAATGAAGAATCATCATGTGAATCATATGTTGATTGTCAAAGAGCTTTACCAGGCCTTTAATAATAAAAATAAAGAGAAATAAGATTTTTAATTCTAAAAAACTTACAAAGCAAATGACATATTCTTAAAATCATGTTCAGGTATGCCAGTTAAAAATAATGTCGAACAACCACCATTTAATTGACCATTAGTAACAGTAACAGTCTGATTTGATTGTTGCATTTGATTCATACCTTGTGTTCCTTGCATTGGATGTCCTAAATTCTAGATAATAAAAATATTTAGAATATGTGTATACTAATATGTTATAAAACAGTGTAACAAGCAAATATGTGAATAGTATTTGTTTTCATAGATATGCGCGTATATATTGTCGAAAATCATATTTTTCTCACGCATGGCAATGAGTGAAGAGATAGGTCTTGATGCTCTTATTGGTGTATATGAACAGATATTATAGTTCGAATATATATATAAAATCGATCCTGTGATCGTTTGGTAGTATTAATACTCACGCAATATATATATATGATTATGATCTCAAAAACTTAAATAATATAATGTGTTTGTTCTTAGTTATTTTTTTTAATATTATTGTTTGTTTAAAACTTATGTAAAAAAAAGAAACCTACCATTGGTGGTCCATGTAAAGCAGTATGTAATAATGCGGGATGATGAAGACCAGCTGAGGCTAAATCAAAGGTTAATGGTTGACCCCAGGCTTCAGTTGGAAAGAAAGTGGCACCAAGTTCTTCTAGAAAAATATTATATTTAAATGATTTATTTTATGGGAAAAATTTACGCGGAATTTGAATAAATTGTTGAGTTGCAGTTGTCATCTGATTTTGCATTGAATGTTTAGGTTTTTGTACTTTTGTATTTGACTTAGCAAATTCAAGACGAAGTGTTGCTGGAAGATCTGGATCAAATCGAGCTCCCTAATATATTTATAGATAATCTTGATTTTTATATGAGAAAAATTCTTACTGTAAGTTCTTGTTTAGCAGTTTCAGCATCAACACGATTTGTAAATGTAACAAATCCAACGGGTGACAAATTTTTACCATTCTTATTTGTTACTTTTAGTAGACTGCCTTCGTAACCCTAGAATATACGCATATAATATATTATACATGTCATATTCAATTATCTATTTAATCAGACAAAGAAACTATTCTTTAATGACTAGTACATTTTTATATGCTCGTTAAATGAAAAAAAAGGAAAGCTTACTTTAAATCCACGAAATAAAAGATAAAGTTCTCGTGGTTTAGCATCCATTGGTAAACCAGATACAAACAATGTACGAACCTAAAAATAAAGATTTTAATTCTTACAACTGTTCCAATTAATTTTATTTTTTTGTAAAAATTAAACTAAGAGACACGTACCGGTCGTCGATATACTAAATGCATCTTCTCGCTCGTTAAGCGAAATGCCTTTTTCTTGAAGCTGTTAGTTGCACTACCATTCTCGACAATTGATTCATGTGTCATCTATTTTTTTTTCTCGTGAAGTTTCTTTCTGAGTGTGTGTGTATGACAATCGAGAAGATGATGATGATAAAAGATCTTGTTATTTTTTTTTTGATCAGTAATGTGAAAGACAACGAAAAAAAAATGAAAGAAAGTGAGTGACACACTTGATGTGAACAGTTCTCACTAATTGAGAAATGAAGAGCAATGATGCGGAGTGTGAAGACAAGTGATGACGAAAAAAAAACGGAGAGAAAAAAAAATACTAAGAAAGATGAAAAAAAAATGTTGTTTATACAATTGGTAATAATGAGAATAAGAAAAGATTGTTGATCTAACATGCATATGCGCATCAGGTGTGTCGATGTATATAATGCTTTTCAATTAGTTGATGAGGAAGAAAGAGAAAGATTTCTTTTTTTTATATCGCAAAAAAAAAGAAAAGGATTTATAGCTTTCGTTAAGACCCAATTCTAGTTTACATGACAAGCATGCTGGCATTATTATGTATTTGAAAAGACATGTATAGAAAAAAAGAAATTTTTGTTCCAGTTAATTGAATTTCATCGATCAGCTTTTAACAAGTATACAATATAACTATATGTAGTACTATTGAATGTAATATGAGTATATTTTCGAATGAGATAAAATAAAGGTTAGTAAATAATTGTTGCCATTATAAATTTAAAATAATAGAAAATATTTTTCAACAAGCGAGACGAATTCTCTCTTTTGATTCGATTAACTACTTTGACATATGCAAAACTCAATCTATATTCCATTCAATAGTAAAACATATTCGTTGTTTAGATAGATATATAGTTGAATAAACAATTTGTTAATGCTTAATTTTCTTGATGATTATCCAGGGAATAATTATCTTAATCGAGGAATACGATCCTATCAACTAGATTTCTTATTAACAAACAGAAGGATACATACACACACACACAAAACAAAGCAGTGAAAAATATTTCACTAAAAAAAAAAGAATCTAATAAATATTTATTGTTTATTTCATATCAGAAAATAAAATCATATTTTTTTTAAATTTAAAGTGCTTATTTGTGTATAATAGTGATACTAGTGCACAAGCTTCATCGACTATAGGTGCTTAAAGGGTTACGTGCTAATTATATGTGTAAATGTGATTGATTTAAACATATGTTTATTTTCAAAAATCTATTTTGCTTACTTACTTCATTTAGTTCGTCAGTAGAACTCTTCATATTGAAACAATGACTATAACAATAGACAGTTTATAATAGAACGAATTGATAGGAATCTATGAAAAGATTTCTATTCTTTTTCGTTATACTTCTCCACCTCAACAATCAATATAAATATAGGTTTAATAACGATTGAAAAAAGAGGACGATACTAAATGTATATAGTAGTAGTAATAATATTGTTCATTTATTTGCCGCCACAACCATAGACAAATCATCATATCAATTTAAATAGGTAACGAGAGAAGAGCAAAAAAAAGAATGCAGTTGCTCACTGTTGTTTCATCTTCAATGAATAAAAGAAGAAGAAGAAGAAGAAGAAGAAAAACGATAGAAAAGGTCTACTTTGTCGACACTCTACTCTTTCTTCCGTTAAAAAATTTCTTGAAAAGAAAAAAAAAAAAAAAGAATAATTTTTTAGATGCACTAGCAAAAAAAAAGAAACCGGAAATCAATTGGCAATAAAAAGAAAAAAGAAATCGATCGGAAAGAACAAATGGCTTGATCACTTGTCATGTATGAAAAAAAAAATTTAATGTGCCTTTAAATGAAAGGTAGTCTTTAATCGGAAGTAATTTTCAATTAGATAGAAGAAAGAAAAAAAATCACTAAATAATGCTCGAATAAATAATTATAGTTCAGTATGTTTGACATTCAAAACTTTTTCTTAGATAGTCTTCAGAACTATCTCAATTTTCATATTAACATTGATTTAATGATCTATAAAACCTGTCATCGAAAGAAATGAGTAATGATTAAATAAAATAACATATTTCATAATCATACTATTAATGAGATACTCATTATAAATATATACAGAATTTCTTTATCCATATATATATATATATATATATATATATATATGTTCTTGGAGAAGAAAGAAATATAAAGCTGGATCGATTACATGAGAGAAATTTATCTAGGAGGAAATTGATACCAGATAAAGTCGTACTGGTTAATTATTAACATAGACTAATTTACATTGAAATTCTTACCTAGCATCTATTTCATTTATATGATCACTCATTGCGTTATGAAGAATAACTATATCCACTGCAATGGTGCCATAGCTAATATAGTTTGTATATATAATTGCTATTTCTGCTTTCTAACATATATATATATGTGATATTCCCGTGTACAAAAGAAACACAAAAAAGCGAGAAAAAGAGAAAGACTGTGAATAAAATTATCGTAAGAGACTTTTTTTTTCTTGATATTCTATTGTTTTGTTATATATATATATAGAACAAAAAAAACGAGTGTTATTATGAAGTCTTACATATTGTAATTCCATATGGTTGTATATTTTTCTTTCTCAATCATGTATATGAACATTTTCTTTTTTCTAAGGTAAAATGTTACCCAAAGGCATCATTAGTTAATGTCAATTCATGTTTTAGAGCTAACAAAATGCGACTTTTTTTTCTTTTTTCTTTTTCTTAACTGCTTGACAAGTGTCTACCGATAGTACTCGGACAGCTATAGTAATTGTCAGAATATTTTCAATAAGAATAATGGCTGTCTGTTATTTATTCACTTTCACAAATGTGTGATCATTAATATTATTTAGAAAATAACGATTTTTAAGTAACAAAAAAAAAACCCCGTTTTTTTTCAAGATATCATTACTATCCATCTTATTATAAATAGTTCTCTAATGTACATATAAATGATCTAAAAAACCGATTAGAAAATCGATTTTACTCTTATAAGAAATTTATCTTTATCAATTATCATATCTTACATCTACTTCTTATTCGTTTGTCTAGTTATTACAAAAAGCAGCTGTGCATTTTAGTAATTAATATATGGTCGGTCGGGTTTTCCATCGTGTGGCCCATTAACTACATATGCTCGCCACATATTCAATAATATAATCAGCAAAAAAGCATCGACAATCGGTTAGGATCGTTAACCGTGCGTAAATTTTCTCGTCTAACATATCCCAATCTTTGCCAATTTACTTGGATTATTAAAGACAATAACATATACACACATAAATACCGACAAAAGTATTTTATATATAGTCAGAAAAAGGTTAAGGTCTTATATTAATTTTTTTGTCCTATATTAGTTCATAAGTTAACATTTACTTGATTAAAAGTAAATGAAATATATAACAAGTAAACTCATTTAAAAAACACTCTATTCTTTGTCTATAGAACTTATTAACTGATTTTAATCTTAAATAAATAAATGATAATACCTGGAAATAGAAATTCTTTCCTTTGAAGCTTGTCGATACTTAACAATGATGGTGTAAAACTAATCAATAATTAGAATCTTAACATATGTATATGTGTATATACATAAGAAAAAGAAAGAAAGAGAGAGAATAGGGGGAAGATAGAGGGGAGAAAAAAGAAAGAAGATAAATAAATAAATCAGTGCAATTAAATATGTAATAGTTATTCGAAACATGTTGACAATTATTTTACCTCATCATCTGGTAAACCAATATTGTTTATTGACTCCATACTTTGTGAAAGACTATGGCCATTTGAACCACTACCACTATTATCATCATTATTATTATTATTATTATTATTATTGTTGTGATTAGCTGTTATTAATGAAGTTCCATTATTAGAATTTGTAACTGTTAATGGATGAAATGTATCATTATTAGGTATTGATTTCATAATTTGTTGATGTGAATGTGATGATATGAATGGTCGATGAAGTGGATGTTGGAATTGTTGCTGATGTTGTTGTTGATGATGAACAGAATGAATCATTGGTGGTGGAGATTGTTTAATTAGTATAGATTTTGAACCGAGTAATGATGATGTAGATTGTGGTCCTGGTAAAAAATATGTTGAAGGTGACGACGCCATTCCTTATAATAAATATTTATCTAAATATGGATATAAGTCTAATATTTATCTTATTATTGAACATATTATACAGTTTATCTGTGTATGTACAAGAGAAAGGAGAGAAAAAAAGAAAAAGTGATACACGCCCGCTTCAACGACGGTCACGCACATAAAATTCTTCATCATCAGGCAGACAACGGGAACGAAAAAGGGGAGAGAATAGAATAGAATAGAATAAGAGAAAAGGTCGTTTTGTAGTCTTCACAACATGTATATTCCTCTAACTGCACGAGCGCGAAGAGAAAATTAAAGGTACTACTACTACTACTATACACACTTATTCCTTTTGTCGTTCTAATAGAAATGGTACGAGTATTTTCTCTTGTTTTATTTTTTCATTCTATCATCTACGTTGATCTAACTCCTTCTTCTTCTTATTTTTTTTTGTTTCTTTCTTTTTTCTTCTTCTTCTACATAGATATAAATAATGCGGCTAAGTATGTTTCAAATTGAAAAAAGATGTGTGAGTAAGTCATGCTGAAAGAAAAGCAACACCACCACCAGTAGGAATCGACGACATCAGTCGATAGAGTTATTTTTTGACAAGTAAATTGTTCCTCGTCATTGCGACTGATGCACGCAAACATCTGCGCATGCAAGCGAGAAGAACAAGGAAAGTGCAAAAAGAAAAATATATATATAATAAGAGAAAGAAAATTTATTTTCTGTCTGACGTTTACGTTTGTCGGAAGTAACAACGAGTTTTTTTAGTGTAATTCTACTAGAATCGATAAACAACTTTTTTTTTGTTCCTATATTATTTTGTCCAATTAACAAATGGGCATTTTTCGAAATTACACAACTACAACTATCAACATACGATATCAATCGTGTTTTGAATAGACAAATGTTGATGGGTAAATTATTTCTTGTCTGTGAGAAAATTTAATAAAATAAATTATGTCAAAATTTACTTATTATTATCATCATGATGATGTCTTTTTTCTTACTTGTCTTGTAGAAAAAAATAACAAATGTGAATTTGATTATTTGTTGATGTTTTCTAAGATGATGATGACGACGATAGTAATAAGCAAATAATTCTCTGTTTCTTCATTGTTATTTCTTTTTTTATGTTACTGTTACTATTCGTATGGCACACACATACTGCAAACATCTCGCTATTCATAATGACTGTCAATATTTCATTATTGTTTATATGTTAGACTTCAAATAACAAAAAGAAAACTCAATAGTTATATGAAGACTCAAAAAAAAAACATAGAAGAAAAGAAAATAAAGAACACAAATGAGTTTTTTTTTTGTCAAGCAATTGAAAAACTTTTATTCAATGAAATATTTTGATTCTCAACGTATATGAAATATTAATAACGCTAGTTAATTATAGATAATATTATAAAATAAAAGCAGATGATCTCATGAGATAATTTTTCATGTTGTGTGTCAGTCGTCTCATCTATCTTTAAAAATATTAATTAATTCTTAAAATAGAGATGTTCTTGTCTTGTATTTCCTCGTGTAAATAAATCGATAAAATCAATAGAAGAAGAAGAAAAAGATATTAGAAAGTGGATAATTTTTCAAGAGTTTTGTCTAGTGGTATTATCCAACTTGATTGTCAATATAATATTTGCATTAAAGCTTATAATCTATTTATAACACTTAGGCTTTCTTTTTTGTAAATTTATTTAAGCATCTGTAAAGAAAAAAAAAGAACGACATGATTTATGTTATACGAAGGAAGATAAGAAACGATCTTTTACTATAAATAATAAAGAATCATTAATAAAAAAAAATAATTATAATCAAAATTCTAAGAAACTATCATGTTATATAAAATATTAATACAAATACATGACTTGGAAGAAATTATATGCAATAGAAGTTTTTCAAACATTGACATTTTTTCTTTCATTTTAAATGAAGTTTAATTTATAAAATAATTATTTAAGAATATAAATTATGAAATAGAATTCATTGAATTCGAGACCGCATCTTTAATGTTATACTTAAAATTAATTAATAGAACTGTATCATCGTGCTATGAACAAATTTCATATAGCACGATAGATAGCACCAGAAGATGGCTTATATATAAAAAATTATCCAAGTAATTCTGAATTAAAATATAATAGAAATTTATTTTTAAAACTTCATTTTCAAAAAATTTTCACTAGAAATAAATAAAACAATTAATTTCGCTACTATCAATACTTAACAATATAAACGGGTATTTTATGAACTATATTCATCATAAATATTAACGAATCATTTATGCTCTATTTTTTAACACTTTTTTTCTTGTTCCCTATAGAATGATATAAATCTTTTCTTTTTTAGTAAAATAAAGTTTTAGAATGATCTAATGTGACAAATAAATTGATGGATTCATCAACACAGATACAATTAAAAATCAATGCACTTGATATAATAAAAAATTTTCGTGTACAAGAATTACAAGTAGAACAAAATAAATATTTTATATATATATATAAATAAATAAATATTATTTTTCTAGGCTGTACTTGATTATGCACGTCTTCCTCGACGTGGTAATAAAACTGAATTATTTCAACGTTTAAAAACACTTATAACTTCAAATTTAACTGAACAATTAATCAAGAAAATTGATCAAATAAATTTATCCCGAATTAATTACCCAAGAACAATGCCGATATCATCTTCCTTACCAAATTATCATAATATACATTCAAATGTTATGATATCAACACCAGTAATTGAAAATCTACCATTACCACAACAAATTCAATATGTTCAATTACCTTTTTTTGACAAAATACGTACAATTGAATGTATTAACATGCCAGTAGATAAAAAAATATTTGCTCCTTTACGTTTTACATTAAATGATTATGACGTGGATTTAATTCTTAAAGGTGCAGCTAAAGTTTTTCTTCGTATTGCTCCAACACTTATTCATGATAAACAAAATGATGTTTTACCACCTTATATATTTATTCAATGTAACGTAAGTTGAATAGATTTTTAAATTTAAATGAAATATTTTTTTATAATTCTTAGGGTCAACAAGTAATTAATAATAATATAGCAAAAACAGTTGGTTCACAAGCGCATTCAATCGCATTTCCAACAGATATAACTGACAAAATAATTCCGAAAGCTAAAATACATAACAGTTTAAATTATCATTGGCTTCAAACCCCAACAAATATGTCATTTAAAAATTTACCAATATCTTATACATTAACAATACAACTTTGCCGTTATATTCCATTAGATAGTTTAATTGAAAATATTTTAAAACGTGAACCACATTTAAGAAAAAATGATAATCATGATAGTGATATTGAAGTAGAAGATACAGGTTTAATGGCAACACGACATCGTGTATCATTAATATGTCCAATAACACAATCATTAATTAATGTGCCTACAAAATCATCTTATTGTTTACATCTAACATGTTTTGATCTTCGATCATTTCTTCGAATGAATGAACGACGTTTACAATGGTCATGTCCATTATGTAAAAAACCAGCATCATATGATACATTACATGTTGATAAACGTTTACAAACTATTCTATTAAATGTTCCAAAAAATTGTTCAACTGTTGAAATTGATTCATCAAATAAAAATTTATCCGATTGTCAATATATATTAGATAATGTTAGTAATACTGCATTACATCAAAACGATGACGAAGAAGAAGAAGAAGAAGAAATACAAGGATTATTGTGTAAATCTATAGATAGTAAGTACAATAAAAAAAAATATTATTCAATTCTATGTATGATCAATACATAGGAAGATATCTAACGAGGGAACCTCTCGAGGTAATAAAAAGCTTTTTGAAGTCGGACTTGTTTTATCTAGTAGACCCTGATGAGTAGTGACATACCCTGAGTTGGTTCGTCCGCTTATCGCTTTGGAAGTGAATTATGGTCAATTCACTATTTTTTTGACGTATGACACTATATGAGTGACTTTGAACCTGATATTTTGCTCATAAAGAGATCTTATAAATATTAAAATACCCTGAAAGTATCAGGCAAAACGAGTGTACCCTTCTTGAGATTGTGAGTGGTCAAAAAACAACTGTTTTTCAAGATCAATCTTCATCGCGTGAAACAAATAGTCGATTATTGAGAATCCATTATCTCAAAAAGGGTTCACTCGTTTTGTCTGATACTTTCAGGGTATTTTAATATTTATAAGACCTCTTTATAGACAAAATTTCAGATCCAAACTCACTCATGTACTGTCATACATCAAAAAATAGTGAATGACCATAACTCACTCCCAAAGCGATAAGGGACGAGCCAACTTAGGGTATTTCACTACTTACCAGGGTCTACCATATACAAGTAGTCTGAGCCTTAAAGCTTTTTATCACCTCAAGAGGCTCCCTCGTCAGTATTAATAATAGCAATGATCTTGTCGTTGGATTTCTCCTATATCGTAGCTAACAAAAATTCATATATATTTATTTCACGATGATTTACCGAATAAATCTAGTCGTTACATTTAGAAAATAAACCGATGATTTTTAGATATTTCATGTAATCTTTTTGTATTAAATCAAAATATTTCTTTTTCTCATTGGAGAATCCGGTTGTCAATCAACGTCAAGTGATTGTGTTATTCTTTCATCTGGTAGTGAAAATGAAGATGAAGACAATAATGATATTGAAGATCAACATAGTCAAAGGAGTAATTCACCAGCTCCTACAACTTCACATTCAAATGATTTATGTAATCAAAATAATAATAATAATAATAATAGTAATCAACAAATAAATAATACACATCAATCACCAAAGAGCATACATTCATTACAATCACTAACAACATCAAATGTTGATGATGAAAGTTATTGGGAAGATATTGCAAAATTTACTTATGACTTAGTACCAAATAGTAATGAAGAAAATTTAAATCGAAAACGAAGTAACAGTTCAAATTCATCTTTACTATCAAATAGTGATGAACATCATCAGAAAAAACGAACAAAACGGTACTCAACTAGTAAATCACAAACGAATGATATTGAAGTCATAACACTTTCATCCAGTGATAGTAGTGATAATGATAATTAAAATTATCATAAACATGGTGTTATTTTTTTTTTCTCGTTGTACATTTGAAGCATTTGTCCATATGTCTTATATCGTTTGTGTGTGTGTGTGTTTGTGTGTTGAATGAGACAAATCGAGGGTTATAGAATGAAAATAAAAATATTTTTTTAGGACAGTTGCTTTGTCCTCCTATTGAACATATATTCTAGATTTTAAATAATTTGGTTACAATAGATAATACAAAGACAGTGGGTAAGTTACAATATTTATTAAATAAAGGATAAACTTTTATAAATTTCGATACATCTATTAATGTTCATAAGAATTGACTTATTTTTAAGTAAAGAGAAATTTAATCGAGCACCAATCAACTATTTTTAAAGCTATTACTACGTTTTCGTATCCTCCCTTTACACATATAGTTGTATATTGTCCTCTATTTTATTTTTTAACCATTCAGATTCTTCTCTTTAAATCTATAACGAAAGTTAGTATAGTCTTTTCTATTGATTTGAATTCATTCAAATTAGTTTGCGTTGTAATAGGTAAGAAGAATAAAGATATAGTAGATTCCAAGTCGTTGAGTACGGCGTGCACCTGGATTAATATCTGTGGCATTGTTCGAAATTTACGCTTGGAAAATAAAATGATTTAGATTCATTTTTTATTATCATGTATTTCAATAAATATATGTATAATGAATTTAATCAAACAAATATATATCTATATCTATAAATAAATAGTAAAATTATGTTTTATTTTATTTAGTTTTCATCTATTCAATCAATTCTACTACGAAGATACTTTTTTTTATACTTTCACGATTTACAAGATTTTTTTTTATGTATTTCAAATCTCAATAAAGATGTTTCATTTTCTAAATATATTTTCTTTTAATTCAGATGGCTGTACAGCGAGTTCAGGCTACAATAGATGTTAAATCAGAAAATTTTCATCAAATCTTAGGAGAATCTATAGTTGACTCATCCACCGGAGATGTGTATGAAGGATTAATTGCTGCTAATGAACGTTTGAAATCAGATATTTCAAAAATATTCACTGAATTTGTTAATAAAGCTCGTGCGGAACAAGAAACTAATGGTGATCAGAAAAAACGTAAAATAAAACGTAATAAGATTTTCTATTCATTTAAAAATAATTTCGTATTATTTCTTTTTCTTTCATAGATGACGATGATGAAATTGAAGATGATATAGAAGATGGAGATGATGATGATGCAGGTTCATCAGACAATAACGAAGAAGATCAAGAATAATTTCAATTAATTTTTCTATTTTACTATACTGACATATTGTTATTCTCGAATGGTTGTTAAACTGACATTATGTTTTGTTTTTTTGTATATGAACTTAAAAATAAATATCTACTATGATCTATTAAGATTGTAGACTTTTCAGTTGGAATCATTTATATTAACAATTAGTTTATAATTGAGCATGATAATAATACTTTTAATAAATGTCTACAGATGTAGGTATTTCTAAAACTAATTTCATACTCTGTTGAATAATAAAAATAAAAAATTAAGCGATTTGATAAATAAGACGTTCCCAACCGTCGGTATTATGAAGATTTGTTGAACTTCCACATCTATCACCTCCGCCACGACCTATATTCGCGGCAAGTGACCAACATAATCGATATTCAGAATTTTGATCACTTGAATCACAAGGATTTAAAGCGAATGATCCGAATGGTATTCCAGAGAAGCGACCACGGCCTTTTCCATAGTAGTTTGCAACAAAGTCCTAAAATATATAAAAATGTATATTACAACAGTACATGAGATCATTCGTCTTACTTTTGCACGTCCTTCGAAACCCCAAGCTTGATTTTTTGCATAGTAGAAACCGATGCTATTTTTCATTTCAGCTGCACAATACGTATTTGATGAACATGGATGAAGTAAATCTTCTCGTTTACCTACACCGGCTACAACTAATGTTTTTTCATCAGTAGTAGAGCGACAGGCAACAAGAAGTCGATTGCCTTTGCATGTATTCGTCAATATTTGATCATCGAATCGGATATTATATGCACCATGAAAACATTCTTTCCATCCGACAAGAGAATCTGTTGATAAATTGAGATGAACGCCAATAAGTGGTGATAAGAAACGATCAGCTGTAAAAGACAACATGGTAGTTTACTGTCTCTAATTCAAAATTTAAACTTACGATTCAGTCCAAGTTCAAAGAGCATAGTAGAAAAATTAAATCTAACATCCGCAGGAGGTGCTACAATATTGAGTTCATACGCTGATATTTTAGGCACACGTTTCATTGATCGTAGTTGATCAAGTAAATATGCAAATTGAATAGGATTGTAATCGAAAAATTTTATTTTTTTATGCTTCCTTTTTAATTTAGTTTTATCTTTAAGATCTTTGGTAAATAGAAGAGCTAGACTTGAATTAGGTACAGCAGTGAGAGTTGAACGATATGTTACCATTTTTTGACCACCAACATTTAATTCAATAATATCATCTGAAGATGATTCGGATTCATATATGTCTTCCATATCTTCTAAATCATCAGAATATTCATGTCCAATAACTGAATTACTCATATGATCATCATCAGTATTAGCAATATTCTCGCTAGAAATAACATTTCTATTTTTAACTACAGCCATCTGTTCTGATGTTAATGTATAATCATCTATGCTTGCACTTGATGTCTGTAATATTATTTGTTGATCAAATAATAAAAGCCAACTAGCCTATAGTTTAGAATAAAATCTTTTTAAAACGAACAGCTCTTCTTCTTTTTAGAAAAATACATACGAGAAGAGTGCAAAATATTATCGACAATTTTTTCATGTTGAATACTTATAAATGAATATCATAATCTGAATATTCTCTGTCAACAATGGAAAATATAAATTAAGATTTATGAAGTAATGACAGTAGTATCTTAAATGAATCATTATTTTTGCCGAATATTGTTGCAAGATTCTCTATATTCAAAAAGTTATAAATCATATACACAATCAGG